GACCCATGCAAATCCTCCATTACGCAGAAAGGCTCATCCGGTAGAAAAAATGGAAGGAGTCGGGAAAGAGGCGGAAACTGAGAGCATTCTTTTCGGTATGATCTCATCGTGTAAAAAGTCATGGAGGACGAAAAGTTGCCACAGGAGTTGAGAAGTACAATGCCGTATAATTACGACGGGAAAGTTGTGCATATATCCGCATGAAAAGTGAACTTAGTTTTGAAAGCGGGCGCCCAAGATGCGAAGCCTTTACATATCTAATGCCCGAACAAAAGTTTCCAAAATGTCTCGCTTACGTTTACCCAGCGTATTTAACCTCATCCTTTCGCAGCCGTCAAGGTTCGGTTTAATGGTCTGATGCAGAATTTCATGGGAAACCGTCCCGGCGCGCAGTGGAACGAGTGACACATGGCGTGGAAACTTTTAAGGATGGTATTTACATTGATAAAAAATGTAGACGTTTAAAATTGATGTCTAATGATTTTAACGCATTTCCTCTGGGAAGCGTCCCTTAACATCCTTAGTGTAACGAAGTAAGCATCAGGATGGACCACCATTGGGTTGATTACTGAAATCGATAAATATAGTTTTTTTGGAATAAACGACGAAAATGTGCTTTTATAGGCATTATGGATCCGTTTTGGGACAAACATTGGGGAAAAAGTCGGTATGCGTTACTAAACCATGTTTATTTTATTTAGTGTTATTCTGAAAACACTAAGTGAGTAGATAATGTGGTGATTTTTTCGCATTTTTATGGAGCCGAAATTGCAAAAAAGCCGCTTTGAAAAATCCAAAAACTACATGACATTTCAATCGCACCCGAATGGCGGGAAACCAACGGTGGTAATGTACTGCGGTAGTCAAATCGCAATCTTCTCTCACTTTCCACTGATGTTTGTTAAAATAAAAAGTGTTTCAATGTGGAATTGTTGCTTGTTTCCCACAGATAACATAAATGAGATTCGATTCTTTAATTCTAAGGATATAATTTCGACTTTAGTATATTGTTCTCACATACGATGGAGAATTTGCGAGAGTCGTAAAGATTTGTGCTTGCTTCTGATTAGTGCCGGATGACAGCATTCGGTTCGGCGCGAAACCGGGGCGTTTTAAATTTGCGTTTAAGTTGAGCGATTTGAACTGCGTATTTCTCAGTTATTGAGTTACATTTTCGCGTTTTCAATGTGCGCATCATGTTCTACGCGTCATTTACCTTGGGAACAAGGTATTCGCAATTCAAAATTCGTTCATAGCTTAATGACCCATCTTTGTAACATTTCTCGATGTGTGATGTGCGAAAATAGATTCACACCTTGAAGTTTGTTTCATTATATCAAGCATTGTGAAGGTATAAAACTTCAAATTTAATAGTCTTCTTTTTAAGCCTATTTCCCGTGTTCCTTTATGCCGAAAGCTTCATAGTTAATATTGAAATTGCTTGATGAGCGCGACATTTCTTACTGACGCCTTGGATACAACTATTCGTGCTTATCGGATGTCTGTGTTGCATGTACAACGGTTTGAAGGCGCTTGGAGTTTGCATGCGCGCTCGAAGACGCGATGTGCGTCGCGCCAGACGTTGCTAATTCATTACTGTAGTCGTTTGATCCATGACTCTGAACCTCGCCTGCTAGCTGATTATTAAGATTGATAGACAAAGCGATAGAGAAAGAGAAAAGGGGAAAATGAAGTGATCCTTCGGTGGAAGCGGGTGGTTGCAATGAACAAAGGGAGTAAAGAATAGATAAAATAACGGTGATCCAAAAGAGATCCCACGACTAGTCCATCATTTTCTTCCTTAGTATATAACAACTATACCCGTTGCAGCCAATGAGATAGTTCCATTTTTCGTTTGCATTTTATGTCTATACCATTCGTATATCAATGTCAAAAATCAGCCGCCAGTCAGGGTATACAATTAAGAACCGCAACCACATGTTTCCTCATTTAAACTTTGGCGTGTAATACGTAGGACACATTAAAAATTTCCAAATTCTACTCAGGAAGTTAAAAATAGCGTGTTTTGCATGCAAATCAAAGTTGCTGTTCACATAAAAACCTACGTCTACTGGAGACAAATCGCGCACTATAATAACTTCTTCACGTTTTATAATGGAATAGGTAACTTTCTGTACGTTTGATGTTTCTTGATACATTTTTTAGTCTTGTAAATAAGAAGAAAATTTTGTTGAACCAAACACAAATTATTTGCTGAATGGATGAAATTAGTGTCGCAGAGCGCTAGGGTGCGCCGTGAAAAGCAGCTCTTAGGTATGTAAAGAATTGTATTAAGTAGCCGATTTACCCTGCTTTGATTCTGGTTTTTCGTTAGTGGAAAGCTAGAGTTAACCGCGAATTTTGAAAGTTTTCGATAAATTCGACTTGCATTACGTAACTCTCGATTTAAAAATAAAAACATGTTTTGTAGAAATTTCCTGCCCATATGGTCCATTTGCAGTTTTAGTCACCAATTTCATATCGTCCCACCTCTCTCAATTGTCCGCTCTACTGTGCGGTGTAACTTGGCATCATCAATCACCAAACACTGACGCTGGCAGCGTTTAGCGGTGTGCTAATCAACGCAAATGAGTACCTGTGACGCGATGGCACTCTGATAAGTTTTCAAAGGAGGATGTGAGGGGGTGGAAAAGGGTTGGAATGTCAGAAAAAAAGTTCCTCCTCCTGACGAAATTCTTCACACATCTTTGCACCCCCATCGTAAGGCCTTCACTTAATTTTGGGATGAGCCCCGTTATCCATGCAACTCAATACTTTTCAGGGCTCGCGTGAACATTTGGTCACGTCAGAGGTGCGACAGCATGCTTGAAGTCAAGGCTGCCTGGGACAGAAGGGTAAAAGTAGTGGTGTAACAAATTTTCAAGTGGAGCCCTGGCAATTTTACATTTCTATGATAAAGAAACATTCTTTTTTTTATTACATGTATTTTATTTTATTTTATTTTACCACCCTAGCTGAAAGGAAGTATTTTTTGCCGTAAAATTTTTATAAACCCATTTTGAAATCTACTACCTTCCGGCGACTTTATGGAAAAGTAGCCATTATACTGATTGGTTTTTGGTTTGAATAATATATCGACGGTGTAAGTCGGCAATCACATAACTCGTTTGCGGTGTCCGAAAATCTCCGCCTCTATGTTATTTTTTTAAATGAGAACAAATTGACATCATTCCTTGAAGTTTTTGCAGAATTTTCTTCGCACGGAGAAGAAAAATCACGGCAGTATTAAAAAATTGCCGTTGAGTAGTTTTTCGTTTAAAAAATAAAGTCTGACAGGAAGTCTGCGACGTCGCAAACCGAGTTATGTGATTGCCGACTTACATCGTCGATTTATATGGGTTTTTTTTTCATCGATTCAACTGAGAATAATCCATGCAGAGTATGCAAACATGTCAAAATCATGAGCTGCAAAACGCTGACTCCGCGAGTTTAAATATTAGATCATAACAGAGCCGAGCGGCGCGGCATGCTGCCAGCGCGGAACAACCTAACCAAGCGGCGCCTACAAACCTAAGGGGATACTTCACGCATTACGCAATGCTTGGAGTATCCCCTTAGGTTTGTAGGCGCCGCAGCGCGTTCCGCGCTGGCATCATGCCGCGCCGTATCACGGCGCTATGACAGGAAGTCTGCAACGTCGCAAACCGAGTTATGTGATTGCCGACTTACACCGTCGATATACGAGGATAAACTAGGCAACGAGAAATGCAGTTGGGCTAATTGAAGCTAAGCCGTCCAATTCGAACAGCGGATATTCCAGGTATCGAAATAGGTTTTTTTTTTTTTTTTTTTTTTTTTTTTTTTTTTTTTTTTTACATGGGATCCTAACTTTTTTGCGAAGTGAATGATGCGCTGTAATATTGCTCCCGAAGGTTTGACAGTAGCGAGCCACGGTCAATTTTTGTCATTGTCCTCCCGTAATCAATGCTAATCAGAGCGATCTGCTAATTCCGCGCTGGAAGGGGGGGTATTCGTGTGGGGGATGCGAAGGGGGAGGAGAAAGGGGGGCTGATAAGTGAATCTCCTGTAATTCAATACATTTCTCCCACCGTGCCTTGCGTGACGAAGCGCGCTAAACTCTCCTTGTAACGTTGCCGGACCGCATATAAATTCCTGTTTCTCGTATACCTTGCGGAAAGGTGACTTATCACGATAGCGCAACGGTGTCACCTAGTCCTGCTGTTCCTGTTCCGAAATGCATTTGGATAAAATAGATTATCCGAGACTGGATTAATCCGATTGACAAATAGAATGGGCCCCCTGGACTCGGAACAAAGGTGGAGTAAAAACACAGACGGAAGTCTGATGTTGCCGTAACGTTGCGGAAATTGAGGTCCCCTGAGGCAAATCTTACGCGTTGGCGATGGAAAGAAATTTTTGGAACCATAGAACTTCGACGCCGACGTCTGAGTCTGTATAGAGTACCTATAACGATAGAGTATGGCCATTACTATCTTTTTAGCACAGGAAAGTTGTGCTGCTTTTTGATTGGTTTACAAGTTTTAGGCATGATGCCCTAATGATCGTAAATAAACAAAAAATGTATGCCGACCCTTCCACAAGAAATTTTACATCTACCGTTACGGCCCATCTCTTTCTGGATGGGACCGATACATCGTATTCTTTGAAGGTTCGGAAGAACCGGACAATGTAAAAGTAGATGTAGTTCCTTTTGACAAAAATGTAAAAGCGGGATTTTCAATTAAATCAAAAGGAACTGAGCGCTAACTCGTGAGCCGTGGGCATGCGACAAGAGCCTTGTGGACAGGGCTCACGAATTAAAGACCGCCTTACCGATTGTCATCTTCCTCGTCGTTGTTGCTGACGTCACTGGAGCTTTATATTTCCAATTCATTCTTGTGACCCGAGCACAAACAAGCACACCCCATCTTTCTATTTGCACATTGTTCCGTTTAGTATAAATACGTCCACCTAAGTCATAAATAGGGAATGCATTGGGACAGAAAGAGGGTTCTTACCTTGGGCGAGAAGATGAGAAGGAGGACGAGTGAGTTGGTGAGCTGGGAGCGGATGAAGGCAACGACGAGTACGTTGGTGGGGCTCATGGCGGACCAGTAGAGGATCCGGATGACGTAGAACACCGAGCTGAAGAGGATCTCCACGAAGACGGCCCCGCTCAGGAACGTCCTCTCGTTGAACTGCACCGAAGCGTTGCGGGCCGCGTAGCCCAACTGCAGCCCGAATAGCAGGAACATCAGCTCCGCTGAAAACCAAAATCCCGTTCGAAATCAACAGGCGTTTCTCATACACGAAAAAAATTGAATGTCGATTTAGCATTCATACTGGTAAAAAAATGTGCGACAAGTATCAAATATATCAAGACAAATTGAGACGAAAATTAACTAAACCTCCAAAAACTGTCCCCAATACACTGCAGAGGGCAGCTTTTTTGCTTTTTTCTTATAAAAATATTCAAAATCTGATGTTTTGACTGAAGTGAACCAGAAATCGCTCTACGAGAGAAGTTTCCAGCGTGGACCGTGGTCCAAGATTAACTTTCGCAGCCGATCTCATTTCGTCATTTTTGTAACGTAAGGATGCAACTTCATTTCAAAGTTGCAAAATTGACCCGAACAATTGAGTTTTAAAAAGGAATACAGCTGTGTAAAGTTTATCAATTTTTTTTTTATTTTTGCGTGAGATCGGAAGAAAATTCAGAGAAATTTTTGGTTTGAAATGCCAAAGATTCTCCTGGTAAAAATTCAATTTGCGGAAGGAAATTTTGCAACATTGAAATGTAGCTACGTTCTTTGGTGAGGAATACGACGTTTTTACCATTGAAAAAATTGACGTATTGCTACCAAACGAAACTATGAACGGATGGGAAAGATGGAGTGTGCTCTAGAAAGCTTTGTAAGAACTTGGTGGACTTGGTTCCCTTTGAAGAAATGAAAAAGCGGGATTTTACAGTCTACCAAACGGCAGTATGTGCCAACTGAATGCGGCACTCATGAGCCATGGACATGTGACATGAGCGTTGTGGACAGGGCTCATGAGGTAAAGACGCCGAAGGGCAACCACGGCAACGGCTTCGTCGCTGCTGACGTTATTAGCGACTTATAATTCCCATTCATTCTCACAGCCCTCGAATAACAAGCCCATTCCTTCTTCCCCACCTGCCTTTGCTTCCGTTCGGCAGAAATACGTCCAACAAATACAATAATCAAAACGGTGGATTCTCCCGCTTCAGTCGGAAACTCGGACTTCAATGTAAATAGTAGAGATACCGATTGTCGTAAATACAGTCGCGCAGTATTGATCGGAGCACGAGGGAGCGGAGGATGGTTCAGGAACATGCTTTTTTACGCATCACTCACCGGTGAGATATTGCAGTTTCGATCGAAGTCGAAAGCAGGAGTTAAATCTCATTATGCATTTCATCTTTTCCCTCTGTCAGTAAAAGCAAAACGACAGAACCAATCGTCAGATAGCGCTTCGGTGCGGCAGACTCCCGCTTCAGCGGCGGATGAAAGGGGGCCGTAACCCGATGAATAAATCCGTAGCACAAAATGAGATAATAATATTAATTCACGCGTTCTTAAAACGGAGGGATGGAACGGCACAGGGTGTGCAGAGCTCAAAGAAAAAAATCCAAGGACGTTTTTAGGTAGGATTACTCTCGGAGAAACGTAACTAAATTTCAATGTTGCTAAATCAGGGTGTCCACTAAAAGAGGCTGGCCAAAAATCAGTACTTTTTCAGTACGTTCCCGAGAAATTCGGTAACTCCTCAGAGGGAAAATTCAGTACTTTTTTTGGGCCTCCAATTTACGAAATTCGAAAAATTTAAAAAAAAAATTGGATTTCTCGCTCATATTGCGACAAAAGTGAAAAAATCCGGATCTTTTCCCGGAATTTCAGCACTTTTTCAGTAATACCGGAATGTCCTTAAATAATCAGTACTATTTCCGGACTTTCCGAAAATTCCGGACTTGCAGACACCTTGTAAGTTTTTCCTCGCAAATTCTATTTTTACAATAATTGAAGAATCTTTGGCTTTTCTGATTGAACATTTCCCTATTTTTCCTCTAATCCCGTAGAAAAAACTGGGAATATTTTGGAATGAGTTGAAAGTCATAAATGTCCCATAACTCCCATAAATGCATATCCATGGTAAATTTGAAAAAAAAAAACGTGTCACAAATTACGCAGATTGCCCGCTGAGGAGTGGATTTCAGACTTTTTAAATGTGTCCAATGCGATTTTCGAGCAAATTTTCGCTCAGAGAGTGTATTCGGTGGGTTCTATCTATTCCTTGCAACAGACCTGTTATGCCAACAGTTCCGCCTCCTGTGAAGTTTTTCTTGTCCGTTGCAAAATTTCGTTCGTCAGAGTTGGGACCTTTCCACAATAAACGCTTCAAATACCTCCTTGAATTTGCTCTCGATGAACCGAGAACACCCCGTAGAACCAAACTGCGAGAGACGGGCGACGGAAATACCCACGAGCGAATTCTTCCGACTTTTTCCTCCGTGCGCGTTAAAATTAATTCGAGTGAAAATCAGGATGCTTTGAAGTTTTGTTCGATGGAGCGAAATAACAGACATTAATGGGAAAAGATACCCAGTGCGAATCCAGCCCTGTCGTTCGTAGCAAAAACCTTGCATCTATAGATGTATTTCAACGGGAGAATGCGGGGTTTTCCCTTTAAACGGCAAAGCTTCAGTTCTCCGTAAATGCTCGGATCTCGCAGAGAATGAATCCAATTAAAGACTTCGGTGCACCCGACTATTATGATATTATTCGCGACGCGAATTGCAGAAAATTATTCATCCTGTTGAGCGCATTTTTATGATATCTTGAGCAGGGCGTAAAATGCGCCGAGGGTGGATTTTGCCCGGTAGCAACTTTAAATGGTCCTTAATTGCGCTACGGTGGGTTCGGAGAAATAATGCCGGTAATGCCGGTAGGTAGAACAACCTCCTCGTTTGTTTTATTATGTTTGAGTAAGGTAATTTTTTTATTGTTCTTCAACAATGCAACCACCCGCTTCTACCGATAAAATAAAAAAAAATGTGGTCGCGGTCTTTTTTTTCGGCTTCAGGAAATTTCGTAAACGACTTTTTGTCCGCCTACTTGTTTTTTTTTTTTTTTTTTTTTTTTTTTTTTTTTTTTTGAAATATTATTTCACATCAGAACACTGGAAAAAATACATTGGATCTAGAGTCCAGACTGTTGAAAACATTGACAAGAAAAAATACTCTTGATTCAATCAGATTTTTGCTTAAATCAAAAGGAAGTCCGCTCAAATTTAGAGGCTTGGTTCTTGATTTAAGCAAAAATCCGATTGAATCAAGAGTCCTTTTTCTTGTCGATGTTTTTAAGAGTCTGGACTCTAGATCCAATGTGTTTTTTTCCCAGTGAAACATTTTCTCTTTTAAAAATGTGGCAAATATTTTTAAAGCCTTCATCAGGCGATGGCATCGATATCAATCTCAATGTAACGTAGTTGTGATGAAAGAAACTATACAAAAATTGATACAAGAGAAGAAAAAATAAAAAAGGAAGCAATTTTTGGTTTTAACCCATTTGTACATCGATCTTCTAGAGTCAAATACGTCCAATTTGGGTGAGTTGGGTCGCGCGCACATCACACTGCAGCACAGTAAAAGCACAAAATATTCAAGACGAAAATTAAAGTGCTATGGAAATCATTAAATTTGACAGGGAGCCACCTTAGTGTTTACAAAACACACACTATATTTTCCTTCAATGGGTATATCGACGGCGTGAGTCCGCAATCACATATCTCGTTTGCTGTGTCTGAAAATCTCCGCCTCTGTGATATTTTCTTTAAGGAGAACTAATTGACATCATTCCTTGAAGTCTTTGCAGAATTTTCTTCTCACGGAGAGGAAAAATCACGGCAGTTTTAAAAAATTGTCGTTCAGTAGTTTTCCGTTTAAAATATTAAGTATGACAGGAAGTCTGCGACGTCGCAAACCGAGTTATGTGCTTGCCGACTTACACCGTCGATTTATATGGGGTTTTTTTCCATCGATTTAACTGAGAATAATCCATGCAGAGTATACAAAAATTTCAAAACCATAAGCTGAAAAACGCTGACTCCGCTAGGTTAAATATTACAGCATAACAGAGCGGAGCTGCGCGGCATGCTGCCAGCGCGGAACAACCTAACCAAGCGGCGCCTACAAACCCAAGTGGATACTCAACGCATTACGCAATGTTTGAAGTATCCCTTAGGTTTGTAGGCGCCGAAGCGCGTTCCGCGCTGGCATCATGCCGCGCCGTGCCATACGGCGCTTCAAGCAACTATTTCACAACAGAGGTGTTGCACAGTATCATATGAAATTGAAGGCGCTCCAATATATGAAGAATGACCGGCATCTTTTAAGAGTGCAGGTCTTTCCTCGAAAAATAAAACAACTACGACACAAAAAGAGAGCGGTAATCCAAAAACTCACTCAGTGCTAGCATCCGTATTTATTAACTTTTGGTAGATTTCTTGAATTTCATTAGAGAAAAAAGTGACTCGACTAAGGCAAAAATATTCTTGAGCATGCCGTCAAGAAGATTATATTTTGAATCAAGAATAAAACCGCTGAATGAAAGCGGATTTCTGCTTGATGTAAGTGACTTTTCTTTTTACATGACCATCTTTTCTCCTTTAAAGAAGCATTCTCTTCTTTATTGATTCAAAAGGAAATCTTCTCGGTGGTTAATTTGAGCATATTATTGTTTGAATCAAGTCACTTTTTCCTTTAATGAAGTTCAAAAAGCATGCTTAACGTAATTGAATACCGATACTAGGACTGAGTAAGTTTTTCGACTATCGCTCTCTATTTGTCGTCGTCACTCGATTTAATTTGCAAGGGAACTTCGAGCTTTTGAAAGATGCTATCAATCATGATGCGTCAAGGTGCCTTCAATCTGGTATGATACAGTGCAACACCTGCGTGGCAAAATAGTAGCTCTAAGCGCCGCGGCACGCCGGTGCCATCGCGGAGTTATCGCCACTGTTCGAAACTCACAAGCGAGAAAGCGCCAAATGCGCCTAAAAATCGGCTATGGCGCCTAAAAAGTGAAGGCTCTGCGCCAACGTGGCCCCTAAAAATTGCCCCCTAACATCTGGATGTTCACAGGAAGTCACATGAAGGAAGAAAAACAAATCTATTTGAATTGAAAAAACTCCGAATTTTCAGCACTACAAGTGAAAGCTTGCTTTTTCTATTCTTCACGATTTCATTCTTAGTGCTTTTGTCTTCCCCAAGTTACAGCTACTTACTAGTTCTGTTACGAAAACATCTTGGGTCTAACTTTTCACGAAATGCGTCGTGATGTAGGCAAAAAGTCAATTTGGCCCCTAAAAAATCTTCAATGGCGCCTAATAATCGAGCTTGATGCGCCACATGGCTCCTAAAACTCAAATGTGAGTTTCGAACACTGGTTATCGCACACAGGCATTTGACAAAATACCTGATTCGATTATTTACTTGGGCTAGATAAATGACAGAGGACTCACCTATCTGAGTTACATGGTCCCACCAGAGCGGTTTGCAGGCGACGATCTCGGGGTTGGGGAAGGCGTGAACGCGGATGAGGATGGAGAAGCCCTCCTGGAGGAAGTTGAGGACGGAAACGGTCCACGCCGCGAGGTAGGCCACCACCACGACGACCATGCCCAGCAAGTAGGTCAGCAAGTCTTTGTCTCTGACGACCCATCGACGGGCTTTCCGCGTCCGGAATTCCATCAAAATCCTGCACCGGGGCGCCGTCACCGAGAAAAAAAGACAGCCACCATCATTCATCTTCCGCCGAGCGCTACGGCTACTCCCACCCCGCGCCAAAATGAATGAATATGTATACAACGGGAAGTTCAGGCGGCGTTGCCAAGGTTTTTGATAAATTGGACGGCATTTTTCAATTGGAAACCACTATACTGCCGTGCTAAGGAAGAACGCCGTATGAACATTCGAGAGTTGCCAAATTTCCTTCGATTAGATGTTTATTTTTGAGGAAAGTTATAGATGTTTTTCCTTGAAATTTTCAGGAATTTTGAGTGAAATTGCAAACAAAATTATCTGAAAAATCGGGAGAAAAATATTCATGTTTACCAGGAAATTTATGTTTTATTAGAGAAAATTTGGCAATACGCCTGAAGGCTCATACGGCGTTTTTTCTTACCAAAGCAGTATATCTGGATCGTTTTAGAAACAACATATGAATCATCGGAAAGGTAATTTTATGGAAAAGGCAGAGATTTTGGTTCCTTATTGCAAAATGTAATCCAATCGGGCTGCATTTTTTAACTAGGAACTACGGTTTCTGGCTCATCTGTAAAAACGCTTTTCTGCACAGGGAAACTAACGGTAGCTACGTTTTTTTCTTAACTGAGCCAGAAATTGTGTTTTTTAATTGCGAAATGTAGTTCAATACTCCAGAGGAAGTTTCGCCCAACACAGAAATGAAAATATTTTTAAAATAGATCAATGGCCAAAGTGCAAAACTAAGTATCTCCATTACGCCGTCTCGAAACTTCCGTTCCGATTTCATTTTTTAAAAGAAAAAGAAGCCAAGTTTATAACTTGAAGTTTATACAGAATATTCTGCTAACACAGAAGAAAAATCAAAGACGTTTTCAAGAAATTACGTTGACTAGTTCTCCAAAGAAAAAAAAAAGTATAAAGAAGAGTGTACTACGTCACAATCGGAGATACGTGGTCTCACACTTTGGCTATTGAACTGGGGATAAATACTTGACAAATATTTATAAATATAATGAAAATCTTTTTTTAATCCAATGGATCACTTGCGCTGGTCATAAAATCGTGTTTTGATGACTTAGGCTTAAAGTTCAGAAACATATAATGAAATATCAGTCCCAACGTCGAACTTCTACGTCCAAATCCACTACGTGCGCCGTCATACATCGTTGTAGTATGCCAATGTTTCTTTCACCTGGGTTTTATCAATCGGTAATACACACATTTAAAATTGTTGCTCAACGTAGAACACAGATGAAACCAAGGTATAGGAAAAACTATGGTATGCACTACTGCGGTGCATGACGTCATAAGCCGAGTTTTCTGATGAGTGATTTTTTCTTTAATATTGGACGTAGAAATTCGACATTTGAACAGTTATTCTATTGCGAAGAAAAAGCTGAGGTGTTAGCGGGCTTTACAAATATAATATGCAATTATTGCTACTCCGGCCATGCTTTAAAAGTCGGTCGAAACGTTTGCGTATCCACCACGTTAAGGTAAAATTGTAAATATATTAACATTCTCTTGCACATTGTTTTTCATTAAAGCATGGCCTGAGTAGCAATTATTGCATATTATATTTGTAAAGGCGGCTCATAGCTCAGCTTTTTCCTTTGCATTATGAGTAGCCGAAAACCCAAAAATCTTGTTATTCTATTATGCTCTACTAACTTTCAAGCCTGAATCATCAAAACACAATTTTGTGACCAGCGCAACAAACCCATACAAGCGAATTCTTTCATCTTTGATTCAACATTTTTAATGAGTTGTTCGTCGTTTTTTTCACGTTCAGATTTGATAGAAAACTAAATTTTCCATAAAGGAAAATAAATTACCACATTTATTTGCAATTTATATTAAGTGTTCGATCAAATTTTACAATCGGTAGATTTAAGATAGGCCTTTAATTCCTTGAAGGAATACGGAGAAAAAATTCCAAATTGTGTTTGAAAATTTAGTCATGAAAAACAATTTTACGTATACGTAAAATCAGCATTTTTCCTTTATGAAGGGGCCAATACACCTATGCTACCTAATTACAAGAGGTAAGAGTTTTAATTTGAGATTATTCGTAGATCATCATGCTATGAGGTTTTTTGCACAGTAAGTATTCTAAAACCTTTTCTCAGAAATACCTGAAAATTGTTGCATCAAGTTTATAACCAAAACAACTTCTTACAGCCCGTAAAACGAGTTATATTGTACACATTTAGGAGAACCTATCATACTTCAACTTTCCTAAGTTTTATCTACCCTCAAACATAAAAATTATTCCTCCAAATTGTCCTTAAAAAACTTGAATAAACTGCATGAGTGGAAAGAAAGTAAAGGGAGAAAGTCTTGAGTCTCGGAATACAACCATATTTACGTCCACTGAACAACGTCATACGTATGGAAGAACCACTCAAGGACAATTCATTCTTCCTGCACTTGTGATGCTGCGCTGGTTACGGCTTCAAGAGGCTCAATTATCTTCTCCAACAGCTTCCTATTTTACTGCCAAACAAAAGCGCGACTAAGAGTTGGCTGCAAAAAATATGGTTTTTTAAGCATCCGCACGCTGCGTCTCGGGATCATAACTATCACGGAGCTCCGCCAAGCTGGCAGTGCCTCTTGTTGAATTCATAAAACGACAGAAAAAGATGCCATTAAAATGAGATTAACGAAAACACTGCTGCAACATTAGTAGCGCCGCTCCCCCTCCCCCACCCCTTTCTTACCTTCATTGTTAAAAGACCAATAAATGTTCGCTCGTTTTTTATCCTTATGAGTCTTCTTAAAGTTTGCGAGGGAGCCACGTCATTTTTTCAGGTGATACCTCGCGAGTTTCGGAACGCCCTAACTTCCGTTGTAAATCTACGAATTGCATCTCAAAAGAAGCGGTTTTCGCGTGTTTCCGAGAATACGCCCTTCGGGATGAATGCGCGCTGATTAATGTCGTAATAACGTTGTCTCCCGTACGAAGGAACGTAACTCCGTTGCAATGTTGTCAAATTGACACAAAAATTTATTTATTTTACGAAAGTGGATTGCATTTTGCAAAAAGGAACTAGGAGCATTGCAATGTTGCTAAGACTGAGAAACTTCTTTTGTCAAGGAAGAAGAACCTGATTATCAATTAACAGACTCTATTTTACTCGCTAAAAACTGTAAATTCAAGACAAAAATTACCCTGTAAATTTCATATTTTTTCATGGGTTCAGTCATTTCATTGCAGAGGATGAAAATGCACAATTTTAGCATCATTGCAATTCTTCTGGTTCCTTTTTGCAAAATGCAATCCAAATGTACCGATGAAATTTTTATCCAGATGTTTCTAATTTTTGACACCAAATCTTAAGAAAAATCGGAGACGTTTTCGGTTAAAAATTCTCAAGATTCTCCGAGTAAAATTGCGAGGGGAAATTTGGCAACAATATAATGGAGTTACGTTCTTTTGTGAGGGAACGACGATGAGGACAAATTTTCAATTTATCGTGACAGAGTTCTTGTGTAATTCTAATTTCCGGAAACTTCATTCAAAGCTTCTTCCCTAATCAAACTTTAAGTTTCTTCGCTCAAAACTAAAATGCAATCCCTGTTCCCTGTTTCGCGCCGTTTCGCGAGCTGCAGCGAACTGTCCATCACAAACTTCTCGATGCATTTAATTAAAAACGTTTTTTACTGTTTGTTTATTTTCCCCTTTGAAGTCAGAACTAATTGCATCAAGTCGTTTAAGATTCGTTTTAAATGACCTTTTTCCAATAAAGAACTTAGACGACTTTCAACTCGAGCTGGTTTAATTTTCATTTTGTGCCGGAGCCTCCTTTCGAAAAAATTGAGTTAAAAGCATTACAAAATGCCTCCTAAACCTTGTAGCGTGGGCCAAATAGTTGAAATTTTAAATTACCTCGGAGTAACGTACTACTAAATTTTGAATCATCTTTAAATTAGATACATTTATCTATATAATATTTTTTTTAAAAATAAAGGATAGAATAATACATTTTGAGAGTTTTAAAAGTGTAGTTAGAGTTTGGTTTCACAAACTGCAAAAAAGAAAATTGGAAATTTCAGCTTTAAATAGAACTTAAATATGTTGTTGCATCAGGTTCTACGAATAATGTCAAACTGAAACTCTTACCTCACAAAATTAAGCAAAGTACGTGTTTTGATTCCATTAGGAGGGATTTCATGAACACGTGGGAGCATTTTAGGATCAAATTTACAATTTTGTCCTCAACCACTCAAGTCATTCTAACCCTGCCTCCGATCGACCGATTATAAAATTTGATAGAGCTCAAAACTGTTTCATGAGCAATCAATTTTCGAAGGTCTACCTCACAGAGTCATGCGTCTGTAAAATTAATCGAAACGAGGACAGCTGAAAGAAGCGAAAGAGTCATTTTGCCGTCCTGAGGAAAGACGTAGTATAACCATTCGAATGTTGTCACATATTACTCTGATAAGTTATTAATTCTTGAGAAAAATTATGAATTTATCTCCTCGAAATTTTAAAGATACGCCAATAATAATTACGGATAAAATTATCCGTAAAGTTAGACAACAATTTGCACTAGTTTTTCGAAAATTATGAATTTTTTCAGGGGAAATTTGGCAAAATTTGAATGTGGGAACGGCGTTTGTACTTCCCATGAGAGTATGGGGGAATTATTTTGGCGTGCTGAGGAAGAACGCCGTCTGAGCATTCAAGAATTGACAAATTTACTCCGACAAAATATTTATTTTAGAAGGAAGTTAAGCATTTTTTCCTTTCAAATTTCCAGATATTTAGAATTAAATTCCGAACAAATTGTCTAAAAAATTGGAAAAAAAAATATTCAGAATTTTCCCAGTAAATTCCTTCTTTATCGAAGGACATCTTGGCGACGCCTGAAAGCCCATACGGCGTTTTTCCTCAGCGTCAGCACGGTATTTTCGGGTAGATTCTATCGAGGCAGAGGCATCAATCAGTCGAATTGACAGGACTCAATGAAAACATGACACTTTTTATGAAGGCTGACGCTTACCTGTAGAGCTTAAGAACAATAGCACCATAGCAGACGACGAAGCCAAGCTCTCGACCCCACGGCTCCAAGATACAGCGCTCAGTCGAAGGCTTGAAGACGTAAACAATTACCTAAAAATAGGAGAGAGTTTAGTGGCGATCGATAGGCGAACAAGGCAAGAAGCCCCTCGAACGTAAGAACCTAAGTGCATTTCAGATGAGCTCTATCGCCCTGATAACTCCGTGTCCTCCAGGGCTCATCTCGGAATGAAGTTAAGTTCTTACGTCTGAGGGGCGACGAGATGAGTGAAGCACAAATCGTGACGAAACAGCGTAAGTGCATTTTTAGATGAGCTTTATTCTTCGCATAACTCTGTGCTTGGCGCGGCTCATTTCGAAATGAAGTTACGCGGCGGCGAAATGAGTCGAATAGAAGACGCGTCTGAGACGTGCGAGATAAGAAAAAGGAAAGGGCATTCTCGGCCGGCTTCAAATTAATAGACGGAATTGGAGTCAAAGGCTGCGCGTGTAAAAGGCCGTGGGCGTAAGAGGTCCAGCGCCCTCGTTTTTTGGACTGACGGGGCGAAATTACGGCTGTATTTTCTGGCACAATGGAGTTTTCTGAATGAACGTTTAGATAGAATTGAATTGACGCGACGCGACGGGGTGTGGGGTATGTCGGTTAAGTGCTTTCTCATTTCGCCTTCAATTCTGAGATAAGCAAATCAACATACTCCTTACAAGGTATCTATGTTTCAGGGGTTGCGTTTTCCTGTGTCTTGATTCTCTTGTCTAAGGGTGGCACAGAGGTGTTCTCTGAATGAAAACTTAAATTAGGTAGATTTCTAAAAGTCGTCTCTCTCACGAAAGAACAACTAAATTTCAGTGTTGCCAAATTTACTCTTCCAAATTGCTCTTTTACAGGGAGAACCTTGGGCATTTTTGACTAAAATTTCACCAAATTTTTCTCTGGCTGATGCCAAAATTAGACACATTTTGGGCAAAATTTGCGCAGATTCAATTGTGTAAAAAATGGAATTGTTTGAGTCAATTGGGGAAGCTTGGAAATAAGTTACGATCCTTCGTCCGGGAGACGACGAACTGTATTCTCTAGAATTTTAGAACAACAAAACCAAGAGTGATAAGAAGAAAGAAAGAAGGAATAACCGAAGAATAAACCCAGACAAAAAGAATAAAAAGGAGAAAAGAATAAAAAGAGGGAAAGTGAGGCATGGGGAAAAGGCGATGATAGGTAAATTTTTTTCAGAGACGAACAAAGGAGGACAGAAAACGGGATCGGAATGTAGAGAGAGAGAATGCAGAGGAAGAAACAGAGGGAAGGAGAAAGGAAAGAGAAACAAAGAAGGAACAGTCAGAGACAGGCAAGAGGAGGGAGGAAACCGGGAACGAGAGAGAGAAAGAGGGCGAAGGAAGAGAGACGAAAGAGCGAGGGAGAAGGTCATCAATTTTCCAATTACAGGCTCTCCCACTTGTTGATCCCACGCGCCACCGGACGGTTATGCCAACGAATGAACGTAACTCCATTCCAAGGATGCCAAATTGCCTCAAACAATTAATTTATTTTACAAAAAAGTATCTTTGCAATTTGTATCAACATTTTTTTCTGATTTTAGCATGAATTCTAAAGAACAATCAGTGAACATTTCACTTAAAAATGCCCAAGATGCTCCTGGTAATAAATGCAATTTGCGAGGGAACTTTGGCAACATTGAAACGTGGTTGCGTTCTTTCGTAGGGGGAGCGGCGATGAATGAATCGTGCACGCGTCTCAAAAAAGCAAGACAAGAAAAGGGAAAGGAAAAGGCACTCCGAGACCGGATCAAAATTAATAGACCGAATTAGAGCGACTCCGGGCCGTTACAAAAGCCCCCCGGAATCCGGAGGGATCGATTTTTGTGTGTGTTCAGCTCGCGATAATCTCGCTCATCCTCGAGGCTCGTGGGAGAGACCCAGACGATCCCTCCGCTGAACTTGGGATCAGCGATCCTATTGAAAATAGAGCCCTGCTAAGGAACAACGCCGTATGAGCCTTCACATGTTGCCAAATTTCCCTAGATTATAATATAGCTTATGAATATAATCGCTCAATTTTTCAAAATATTTTACTCTCAATCGACCACTAGACAAGGATCGAATAAATTGGACCGCGTTAAACAGAAAGGAACCAAGCCACATCAGCTATTGCCATATTTAACAGGGAAATTACTCTTTTTACGAGAGAACGTCTGTGCAGATTCCTTTGAAAATTTTGAGGAATTTGCTTTGTATTATGGAGAAAATTCACTGAAATTTGCACAAAAATCCGCTCAACCGTTTTCATGTAAAAAGTTAAATTGCCCGATTAAATTTGGCAATAGCTGATGTGGCTTGGTTCCTTTCTGTTTAACGCGGTCCAATTAAGCATTCTGATACATGTTTCTTAACCAACATTCAACGTAAAGCACGAATATAACGAAAAAAACACGATTCGTGCGGTAAAAATTACTGAAATCAACTCCTAACTAAGAAAAAGATGCCCCTAAACTGTCGAGGCATTCTGTAACACTACCTCGTGATGTAAAATGATTGTTCATATTTCTCGTTGAGAAGGTAACAGAATTCAAAAAAAAAAAAAAAACTATGATGATAAAGTGTTTATTTTGCATTGATTACGCGAAATTCGAACTGCCCACTGTGTGCCCATCAAACGGACTATGCACTACATTAGTGACCTAAGTATTGTTAATTACTTCAAAAACTATTCTCAGACTTATAGGGTTACTTTTGCAACTACTGAAATTGAAAACGTATGTGAAGGTTTAACAATAAGCCTTATAACACAGTGTACCCTCCGGCCAGTGCAGAGTAGGCAATTTGCACATCAGTTAGCATGTGTAAAACGGTGTAACGTTGGAAATATTTCTCCGATGTCGAAGGCGCTACTTGGAGAGCGCGCGAACGCGCTTTACAAGTAGACTGGGTACGAATCATTAAGCAATGTGATACATGTTTCCTCCTCAAAATTTCATGGAGAACACGATTCGCGCGACAAAAATTACCAAAATCAACTTCTGACTAGGATATGAGCGTTTTAAGTGTACATTGGTTACGGGGAACACTTGCCCGGTCACAAGAAACGCAATACTCTACGTGAGTCAAATCGCGCACTCCGACAGTTTTGGCCAGAGACAAGAGACCATCCACTAGTATCTTGGCCATGGTGGAAGCTTTTACTTTCGGGACTTTAGCATTCTACTGTTGACTTACCTACATGGTTGATGCTCAACAATGTGTTGGCAGTTTCGTTTTGCAAACAAGCCGAAAATGGCCGACGTTTGGGAAAGCTGTTTGGCTCATGACGTCATCCGAAGCTCATCATCGACCATGTAGCTAAGTCAACAGCCGAAACTAGGGTGATGACTGTTGCTCCCTAATAATTGTCCATAAGGAATTGTTGAAACCCCGAAAGTAAAAGCTTCCACCTGTCGCTAGGAGGCCAGTGGAGGGTCTCTTGTCTCTGGTTTTGGCAGGCTTCTCGATCAAAGAGTGTTCATTTTTCACCCTTTTTCTGTTCAAAGTGTAAACAATTTGCTAAAGCTGAGCCATAGCGTCAAGATTGAGACTGCCATACTTTCGTATCGCAAAGACTGCCACGGTAACGTTTAGTTTGCGATCTGAAGTATGTGGACCATTGTATTTTCATGAGCGGGAGGTTTGAATTCACGTGTCAAGAAACATTAAATACGTAGGAGTCAAGTTCAGTAAATTTTGTCGCACGAATCGTGTTCTACGTTGAAGTTTGGCTGAGAAACATGTATCAGAACCCTTGACTGCATACCTTGTCTAGCGGTTCATTTAAGGCCGTACTCATAGTCGTTCATAAAAAGGCTCATTTCTTCAGAGGTCCCATTTGTTTTACATTGTAACTAAAGGGGAGGTTCAGGGAGTCCTTAACATAATATCATGAAGAGGACAATTTTTGCAAACCGAGCAAAGGTTTTTTTTATCGTTTTTTCTTTTAAATTTTTATTGTTTCCGACTGAAAATGGCTCAGTTATGAGTAGAAACGTCTCGGGTGTTATTAATCGTATATTTTTAGTTTTGTTTCCCGTTTTTCCTCCCGTTTTTTCTACTGTTATCATGTCTTGGGCTGCTCTTAAAAATTTGTATCTACTTTTACAAACCTTGAGTGAAATTTAGTCACATGACTCTGGAAATGAATTTCAATGATCTACCATCGTGAAAAGTACAAAATACAGAGAAAATATAATGAGAGTGTTGTAAATTTTAAGGTAGGTTCGCACGTCCGTTTAAAATTTGTCAAAATCAAAGAATTTTTTTTATTTTCTAATACGAACATACTATTTGCACTGCAACATCATTATAATCCCTCTCAAACATTAATTTCCAGAGTTTTACATCTGAATTTTACTCGATGTTTGCAAAAATTTTCCACTTTATGCTGCTTCGTTAAGGATCTCCTTAGACCTTCCTAATTCAGCATGTGAACCATATCGACGGTGCAAGTCGGTTATCACATAACTCGTTTGCGGTGCCTGAAAATCTCCGCCTCTAGGTTTTTTTTAAAAAAAGGAGAACAAATTGATATCATTCCTTGAAGTTATTGCATAATTTTTTTCGCATAGGAAAGAAATATCACGGTAGTTTTAAAGAATTGCCGTTGGGTAGTTTTCCGTTTAAAAAATAAAGTATGACAGGAAGTCTGCGACGTCGCAAACCGAGTAATGTGCTTGCCGATCGACAACCATCGTTACACCGTCGATTTATATGGTTTTTTTTTTCATCGATTCAACTGAGAATAATCCATGCAGAGTATGCAAACATTTCAAAATCATGAGCTGAAAAACGCTGACTCCGCGAGTTTAAATATTAGAGCATAACAGAGCGGAGCGGCGCGGCATGCTGCTAGCGCGGAACAACCTAACCAAGCGGCGCCTACAAACCTAAGAGGATACTTGACGCATTACGCAATTCTTGATGTATCCCTTTAGGTTTGTAGGCGCCAAAACGCGTTCCGAGCTGGCATCATACCGCACCGCACCACGGCGCTTCAAGCAACTATTTCACAACAGAAGTGTTGCACAGTATCATATGAAATTGAAGGCGCTTCAATATATGAAGAATGACAGGCATCTTTTAAGAGTACAGATCTTTCCTCGCAAAATAAATCAAGTACGACACAAAAAGAGAGCGGTAATCCAAAAACTCACTCAGTACTAGCATCCGTATTTAATAACGTTTGGTAGTTTTCTTGAATTTCATTAGAGAAAAAAGTGACTCGATTAAAGGGAAAATATTCTTGAGCATGCCGTCAAGAAGATTATATTTTGAATCAAGAATAAAATCGCTGAATGAAAGCGGATTTCTGCTTGATGTAAGTGACTTTTCTTTTTACAAAACTTTTTTCTTCATTATTGATTCAAAAGGAAATCTTCTCGGTAGTTAATTTGAGCATATTGTTGTTTGAATCAAGTCACTCTTTCCTCTAATGAAGTTCGAAAAGCATGCTAAACGTAATTGAATACGGATACTAGGACTTAGTAAGTTTTTCGACTACCGCTCTCTATTTGTCGTCGTCATTCGATTTTACACCGTCGATATGGGTTTTCTTAAGGAAAGGAACTATGAGTAAGGAGCGACTATGGATACGACCCTTAGGGAGGTTTAAGGAACGACTATGAATACAGCCCTTAATCTAAAGTATGTGAAAATTTCGAGGAAATAAATTCATAGCTTTCTTCGAAAATAAATAATTTATCCGGAAGAATTCGGCAACATTTGGATTGTCATATGCTGTTTTTCCTTAGCATGACAGAGAAGAGCTCCCCCGTTAGAGCGGGATTTGCGATGAGCACACAACACCCGGCGCGGAATTTCGCTAAAGGCGCCACGGGAAACAGGATTAGACCGAAATCCGCGAGCAAAAGCTCACAAAAACTTTAGCAACAGTCATTGAAGGATATGACGAAAACGTGGGGGAGCGAGCGTTTTTGTAATGACGTTTTTGCAAGGGCCAACGATCTTCTGTTTGAGACATTTTTGTCGAGGAACACATATTTTCGCTCTTCTGACGTAAAAGCGAGCCTCAATTTCCGTATGAGCCCCGGAAATCATAGATTCATAATGTGGAAAAAGGCTCACGTGGAAATTTAGGTACGCCTCCACGTCAGAGGGGTGACGATTCCTGATCGTTCACAGACAGCGCTGCCGTGATAGCGAAGAGAGCAGTAAGTGCAAAAATGAAGTTTTGAGAAAACGGGCCTAGAAGCTTCTGATTGGAACATTTTACTGATAGAAGCATCCGTTCTTTGTCAAATCGCAACCAATCGTTCGAGAGACTCTGAGAAATCATTTGGGGGATTAAAACTCGACCGATTTTATTTTAAAGTACATGAAAAAGGTAAAATTCAGTTTCATGTAAGGTTAGTATTTAGCAAGACAGCAGTACGTGCTGTCTTCTGCGTGCTTCTGTGGTAGCGTGTTGGACACACAACAAACACATTTTCAGGTTAGAAATCGGCAGATGAGGGCGGCATTCCTCTTGAAAGCACTGTTTTCATTAGCTCTCATGCACCTACGGCTGTCTTGAAAAAAGAATATGTCATTTTTTGTGCACTTACGGCAATTTCATACGTCTCGTTTTCATTAAATTAGGATGAATTTTGCTGTTTTAGCTGTCTCAGTAATTCCATCTATGGAGCCGGAGTTTCGACGAATTTTGAAGAAAAACCTGAGACCTACATGTCAGTGGCCGAGATCCAAGAAAAAACTATAGGTCAGGTAACATGTAGGTCTCGGGTTTTTCTTCGATATTTTCTAATTATTAACTTATTTTTCGACTGAAAATAACGCAGTTTTGAGTCAAAACGCCTCGGGTTTTTAGTGTTGTATTTTTAGCCTTGTCCTCCCCCTCTCCTTGTTTTTTTTCATTGTTCATTGTCTCGGGCTACTTTGTAAAAATGTATGTTTATTGATAATGGGTCTTCCTGTGGGAAAAATCAAAGTAGGCCGCATAATAAGTACGGATGAAAAAAAATCATACTTACAGAAAAATATAGGATAAATATTCCAAGTAAGATCATTTCTAGGACGGTCCACATACCGGTAGCTATCGTCTGAAAACAGAAATAAAAGCTGTGTCAGAGCACAATGCATTTTAAAGACCTTGCACTAACAATCTGTGAGATGTAATTGGGTAAGGCCAAAGCTGGCCGTGCCAAGGAAGAGCGCCGTATAAACATTCAAGAGTTGCCGAATTTTCCCTGATAAAAAATATATTACATTTATTAAGGAAAATGTTGCCTCTTTTCCCTCGGAATTTTCAGATATTTTAGATTAAATTCCGAAGAAATTTCCCTAAAGAATTTCATGAAGAAAAGCATTCAAAAATTTTCCAGCAAATTTTTGGTTTATAAAAGCAAAGCTGGGAAGGTCTATAGACTCATACGGCGTTCTTCCATACCACGGCAGAAATGCGGAGAAAAAAGTCACATTTTGCCTGATGATAATTGATGAGCGACTTTTTGAGCATTGAATCGATTATACTTCACCTAATGATGAAGAATTTTTAATTTACCATTGTTACTTCTTTGCCATTTCCCGCCTAAAAAGTCGACTCACAAGACTATAACTCTTTTGCTCGACAAACCTATTTTACTCCAGTGATCCTTTAATTTTTCTCCCTGTTTTAGGTGAGACAACCCAATAGTTGCCCCTCGTTAGAGTGCTCAAAATTGTGTCTTCCAACGTAAATTTGTTCTTCAGTAGAGGGTACGCCGCCTAACCGCACAGCACTTCAACCCCCCCCCCCTCCTTAGCGCTACACGAGCCTCAGGACTTTTGCATCCATGTTGTGCGTTGCGCGTTTACGTTGTGGTGCGTTTAGGTTGTGCCTTATGCGTTTGGGTAGTGCGTTATGCCTCTATGTTGTGCGTTATGCGTTTACGCTGTGTATTATGTGTTTATGTTGTGAGTTATGCGTTACTCTTATAATTTTATATACTAGAGTAAGATATTGTGTTGGATAATAAAAACTCTCGCCGATTGCCTCACATACACCTAAAAGAGTAACGTCCAGTGTTAGCAACTACGAGAATGACGACTGCTCGCGAGTCAGTGGCGGTTTTATAAGTTGGCGACACTGTTTTCCATCCATTTAAATGCAGTGGCTGATAGGCCGCAAATCCAAGCTACCCTTAGAAACCAAACTGCTCCTCTACAAGTCAATGTTGAGACCGGTTTGGAGCTATGGATGCCAGTTGTGGGGCTGCGCATCCAAAACAAACATTGAAAAGATAGAAATCATCCAAATGAAAATCTTACGAAGCATTTCAAAAGCCAGATGGTACGAGAGAAACGCGGATATTCGCGCCGATCTTAACATTGATTCTGTAGAGGACTACATAACAAAAATGTACAACTCTTACGAAAACAGATTGCATTGGCACCCCAATCCTGAAGCACTCGCACTTCTGGAAAAGGACCGATGCATCCGAAGATTAAAACGTCGTAAACCCCATGAGCTTGGAACCCAGGGGTTCTCAAAATTCTCCATCTTTTAAACTAATGAGCCTCCTTGCGCTTTTCGAACGCAATCAGGGGTTCTTGGGTCTTTGACCGATCTCGGTCTTCCGCTTTCCAAGTTAAATCAAAAAGACTTTTTTACTTTGAAGCAAGATTGCTTTTATTTTTCTCCTCACTAAAAAGAGGGTGTTTATCGCATATTACTTATTTATTTTAGTATGCTCTTTTTTTTATTATTTTCTTTGTTACTTGTTAAAACAAAATTTTTGTAACATAGTATAAGTCTACCTTATAAGTTAAATTTAAGTTTTTTACAGATGTATTTACATCTAAAAACTATCTTGTACATAATATATTTTGTGCAAATAAAAAAAAAAAAAAAAAAAAAAAAAAAAAAAAAAAAAAAATCCATTTAAATGTATTTAAACCAATCGATCATTGGTGAGGCAGCCTGAATCGATATTTTTATGGATTTAAATGGAGGGGAAAACAGTATTGCCAACCTGTGAAATCTCCACTGGTGCGAGTCCAGCAATGGAGACAGGACCGACATGACGAGACGCAGCGACCGCATACATATAGGGTCGGCGCGGTGATCCGTTTAGGCGTACGCTGCGCGCCGCACAGTGGATCGAGTCAATTAGAGTGGTCGGACTTGAAATTCTTGACAAAAACTGCGAATTTTGATGGTTTTTTCGTCATATCTATACTATAAGCTCCGAGACCTCCTAATTTTGCGAAACTGGTGACGCTTAGTTCCAGCGTTCTACCGGGCCGATTTTCATGATTTTTGCGGCTATCGACGGGCAATTGTCTCTAGATAAGCCAACTCTTTTCAGATTTTCAAAATATGGCCCAGGTTTTTTTTATATCAAGTGGTAAAGTTGCGAATTCTCCCATTTAAACAATGTTAATTTATACTTTTTGTCATAGTTCGTTTGAGCGTTCTACCGGGCCGATTTCCAAGTTTTTTGCGGTAATCGACGGGTAATTGGCCCTAGATGAGCCCGCTCTATTTAGAATTTGGAAATAGGACCCAGGTTTTTTTACAATCACGTTATAAAAGTGAGTGAATTTTCAGAATGCTCCGAGACTGCTACCGCTATGCGCGGGAGGATGCGCAGTGGTCGAGGAGGTTGCGCAGTAGCTGTGTAGCCTGCGCATCAGCTCTACACTTATCTACACAAGATTCGCACCACTTTCCTCTAGACGAACGGTGGCCGAGTCGTCAAAGACGTCGGAAGCGTCCTATCAGGGCAAGATGTGGGTTCGATTCCCGTCTCCCGATACACTTAATTATTACCTGATTATCAATATTCGTTGTTTTACTGCAATATTTTATCAAACAGTCATTACAAATCGCGCCCTTTAGACTAAAAAAAAAATATTTGTTTCTTTATTCATCAAAACCAAAAATTATTTCATTCTAAAATACCTCATATCGTAATTTTTTAGGGGAAAAATAAATAAAACTAACACTGATAGGAGGGTAAAAATAGGGCCGCGAAGCGGCCCATTGATGGCGCGGAGCGCCTTCAGGGGGTTGGGCCGCGTAGCGGCCAGGGGGCGTAGCCCCCTAGTTTTAAATATTAAGGGATGCTTCGAGAGGAAAATTTCACGAGACAACCAATGAAACCACTCTTAAAACCTTAAAGTTTAGTATAAACGGAGTTATTAGCTTTTAAAGTCTCCAAATTATGTCCGACCTCTCCTTTTGGTTCGATCCACCGTGCGCCGCTCGGAAAATCTCGGTCGCCTGTACAAACTTGTTGAGCCTGTTTACCTTGTTACCTCGACTTTTCTGCCTCTCCGCCCTCCCCCTTTTAAATAATCGTATGTGCGGGGAAAAGAGCCTCTCTAAAAAAAACCGCTCGCATGTTTTAGGTTGATAGAGTTGATAAAGTGCGATGCCGATGAATTGAACGCATGAACTGCCCTACATGTGACATAAGCACCGTTGTTAGAAATCTCAGAGCGAGATACTACGGGATGCGTATAGAAATTGACAGACGAAAAAAATGGACATGGGAAACACGAGACAGAGCCCAAGCGCCTTCAAATCGGCGTATATGCAACACGGGCATCCGATGAGCACGAATAATTGTATCAAGGCGTCAGTAAAAAATGTCGCGTTCTTTAAGTAATCTATCGCTTTGTTTATTCATTTCAATGATTAGTCTGGAGAGAGCTTACAGCAATCACAGTTGAGAAAACATTTTAATAATATTGGGGTAAAAAACAGAATGAATGTAAAGTTAAACAATAACACACAAAAATAGCCCGACTAATTAAACTAAAAAACACGAAAAACGGGCAATCAAGGCTGGAAATCAAAAAACACTCAGCCGGAGACGTTTCGGGGTGGTCTCAACCCTCTCATAGACCAGGAAACAAAAATACATAAATAATTATAAAAATCAAAATCAATAAACCCCCATTCGTAATAACAACAAGCGTTGTCTCCTCTTTTGTTACCTCACTCTTTGTTATTACGAATGGGGGTTTATCGATTTTGATTTTTATAATCATTTATGTATTTTTGTTTCTTGGTCAAGGAGAGGGTTGAAACCACCCCAAAACGTCTTAGGCTGTGTGGTTATTGATGTCCAGTACTCATTACCCGTTTTTCGTGTTTTTTAATTGAATTATTCGGGCTGTTTTTGTGTATTATTGTTTAACTTTACATTCGTTCCGTTTTTTACCCCAATATTATTGAAATGTATTCCAAACTACCATTGCTGTAAGCTCTCTCCAGACTGATCATTGAAAGGAATAAACAAAGCGATAATCTGCTTAAAGAACGCGACATTTTTTACGAAAACCTTGATGCAATTATTCGTACTCATCGGATGCGCGTGTTGCATATACACCGATTTGAAGGCGCTTGGGCTCTGTCTTATGTTTACCGTTTTCGGCCTTGATTACCCGATTTCTTGCGTTCAGTTAAACTGGAAACCATTTCCAGCACTCTCACCGAAGATACGCATTCCTCGACTCCAGGAACGGATATCATGCCTCGATGCCGTAAAGAGCGATCCGCGGCAAAGTCGCAACGAGGCCATTCATTCGGAATTAATTAGCGAGGGGTCGTAAAGGCCGTTTCTGGGGCTGGGGGAGGGGGAGGTGAGCGGGAGGAGAGGGCGGGACTACGTCACTACAAGATGCAATTAAGCTAATCCGCACCACAAGTGTTGAGCCATCGACGACGTAACAAACGAGCCCCGTTGAAATCCTTGATTTACCTTTGATGTAAAACGCTTGGCTGCGGGTGCCCCAACTTGATTTGCGCCGAGGGTTTCCACTTAAAACGCCCGGGTTCGGCCCGAAACGGCCACTTAATCGGTTCGCAGATAACAGAGGACCGATCGCCGGCTGAACCCCAGGACTGCCGTGTTAAGGAAAAACGTCGTATGAACCTTCAGGCGTTGCCAAATTTGTTTTGATAGAACACGAATTTCCTGGTAAACTTACGGTTATTTTCCCTCCAATTTTTCAGATAATTTTGTTCAGAATTTTACCTTAAGTTCCTGAAAATTTCAAGGAAAAATATACCGCAAAAATGAACATTTTATCGGAGGAAATTTGACAACTC